ATGATACTTGATCTCTTAGTATTATTATTATTATAAAAATTGAAAGTGTTTTACGTGTTCGGCGACTTACTGCCATGCAATTTTTTCGGAAATTTTGGAAATGAAGTTGTGGCAGCGAAGTTCGTTCCAAAATTGCTGAATTTTGACCAAAAAAAAAACAGTCGCGTGAGCATCGCTCAGGAATTTTTTAATGACGTCAAAGGCGATTTAGATTTGCTTAAAAAGGTCATAACTGGGTACGATTCATGGGTATGTGGTTATGACATCGAAACCAAAGTCCAGTCGTTTCAATGGAAGAGCCCAGGAGAGCCAAGACCAAAAAAGCACGCCAAGCTCGATCAAATGATGGTTTGCTCACTGTTTTCTTTTATTTTCGTAGCATAGTACATCAAGAGTGTTTGTCTCATGGTCGTACGGTCAATAAAGAGTATTATCTTGAAGTTATGTGTCACTTGCAAGCAGCAATACAAAGAATACGTCCGGTATTGTGCAAAAACAATTCTCTCTGTCACTCTATGTTATTGGCCTTTACTTCCATTCAGACACATTAAGCCATGTCTATCATGGCTGCACTATGCACTATGTTGTAATCCTTCTTATTTTGCTATCTATTTATGTTGATATTCTTTTTCTGGTGACAGTTTTCAGTGCTGAAATTTGTTAGTAGGTAGAAGAGTAAAACAAAAAAGGGGTAGGTTTATGATTGATTTAAGGATGTGTAAAAGTGGTATTAGTGAAGATAATAGTAATTTCAGGTCACTTTACAGTTATAATCAATATGTTTATTGAGTAATTTTAATATTTTTTATAGTAAGTTTGAATGGTTAACGGAGCAGTGTCCTGTTTTCATTCTAATTATTGTTGTGGAATGTCGTCTATCTATTTTTTGGGAAATTTAAATACCATACTTCATTAGGATATTCAGAATGTATTTTTAGATATAATTTTTTCCTTTGAGTTGTAAGTTTTTTGCCCATTGTTTTCTAAAATCATTCCGTATATTNCGACACTCTATCTCTTATCGTTTACGAGATCCCCATGTACAGAAACGAATTTGAATAGCCCTGTATTATATCATTTTGGAATTCTGCATCAAAATCCAAATTACTTTTGTTGAACATGTTCTATATTTATCTCTCATCGTTTGTAAAATATTAATTATTTTGTAATTTTTTTTGGCGAAAACATGGTATTTTTAATATTTAATATCGCATGAATTAACTAATACATCGAACTCAACTTCTGGCAACATTGAGATAAGATATGGTGGTTGTTATTTCAGAATGAAACCCAAGTCTTATTTCATACAGAGTGTCTGAAAAATACGTCTCAATTTGAATTTTCGATAAACGACATTAACTAATTTTTTTCAAATGGAACACCCTGTTTATTATTCAATTTTAGTATTCAGTCAACTAATGTGAACAACTTTGATCAAGTATGTCCTATACCTATCTCTGATCGTTTATGAGATATGAATTATTCTATACAAATATAACATTTCGAATTGAAAATTCGGGGAAAAATTTTCTATTGAACATTAGTTTAGAAAGGTTTAATAGAATACATGAATGAAATTTCATAGTGGGTGTATGACAAACATTACTATTTCGACACAAGAACGAACACTTTTCAAAATTAAATTGATAACAAAAATAATTCTACACTAGAAAACAAGAGATAATATTGTGAAACTAGCTTCTCAATTATTTGACATTTGATACTGATATGACAAAAATTCAGTAGCTCATGTGCTTGAAATGCTGACCATTTACTTGTAAACATTGATATTATCACGTGATCAGTCGTGGCTCTGCGGATTTCTGAGGGCTTGATTTTCTCGAAGACACATCTAACCCGATCTTTGAGTTCCTGTTTCGTATCGATAGGTGTTCTATATACCTTTTCTTTGATTTTTCCCAGAGGTGAAAATCTAGGGGAATCAGATTCGGTGATTGAAGCGGTGAAATCCAAGGATTAAAATGACGTATCCAACGATCTTCGAACATATTGGTTAGTTCCCTACTCACTTCACGTGTGCAATGTCCAGGCGCTCCATTCAACTAATACCAACAATACCGAGACAAGTTCAGGGCCAAATTATCCAGAAAATCACTCACAGTCTATCTCAGAATATCTAAATATTTTTCAGAATTCAACTTTTCTTCATAAATGCAAATAGAAACTTTATCACCCATGAGCATACAAAAAACATTAAAACTGAATTTTTGTTGGAATCCCCTCTGCTCAGAAGTGATTATTTCGTCAATTGAATATTCCCTCACTTGAAAATTGTGATTCATATAATTTTTTTCAAAAAGTTTGGATCTTCGTATGTCAATGTTAATGCCATTTCGCAAAATTCTACCCGTTTTGGTGGATCATCTCTATGCAAACCTTGCAGCCTGATGAATTTATAATCGTGCATATTATGTTTTTGTAAAATTCTCCATATAGAAATTCGAGATATTTCCAAATCAACCGCAGCACTAGATACTGATGCATGAGGATAAGCATAAAAATATCTTAAAATGTTTATTCATTCTTCCATATCACCAGTCACCGGACTCATTACTTCAATATCTCAGTCGGACAATTTACGCTTGAAGAAGATATTGTATAGTGAAATGCGTGTCGCGGTTTTTGTAAAACCCTTTATAGTGAAATAGTAAGTTTGAATGGTTAACGGAGCAGTGTCCTGTTTTCATTCTAATTATTGTTGTGGAATGTCGTCTATCTATTTTTTGGGAAATTTAAATACCATACTTCATTAGGATATTCAGAATGTATTTTTAGATATAATTTTTTCCTTTGAGTTGTAAGTTTTTTGCCCATTGTTTTCTAAAATCATTCCGTATATTATTTTTAATAATTCGTAATAGAGAATGTTTATCTAATTTCATATTCAGCGAAAGATTAAGAATCGCGCCAACCTTTGCTAACTTATCTGCTTTCTCATTTTCATCGATGTTTGAATGCCCTGGAATCAACGCAAACTCAAACTCAATGTCATTCATTCCAGCCAACTGCCTGGTTTGTTTAATTTTCATTGTGATGTAATCTGTTTTTGCACTAAACTTCGTATTACCAATTCTGTCCAATGCACTTTTGGAATCACTTAGAATGAGGTTTTTTTAAAACAATTTTCTAGACACATCATCATTCCTGTATACAGTATATTCCATATTCGATGATCTATTAGACGTATCTAGAGAACAAAAAAAGATGAGAGTTTTAAATTTTGGTTACCGATGTAAATGGTTGTGATCTATCGTTTGAAAATATTTTCATCACCAATATGTTGCCACATCTACATGTAACAGACATCAACTTGGAAATTTCGAATGGAACATCCCATATATTATATCAATTTTGAATTCTGCATCAAAATCCAAATTACTTTTGTTGAACATGTTCTAATCATCTCTCGTCGTTTTTGAAATATTATTTTTTTTGGCGAAAACATGGTATTTTCAATATTTAATATCGCATGAATTAACTGATACATTGAACTCAACTTCTGACAACATTGAGATAAGATATGGTGGTTGTTATTTCAGAATGGAATGTTGATCTTATTTTATACAGTGTCTGAAAAATACGTCTACAACAAAAAATACAAGTCCGTATTTAAAAATTCAAAGATGGGGGTGCCCCAAGTCAGATGACGCCCTGTATAAAAGATTCATGGATATATTCTGAGAGCCCACGTCAAGTGCCAATAGCAAAATGTGGACAGATTTTCAATATATGTGCGAATAAAGAAGATATAGGCAAAAAATAATTTGGGATTTTTTGATCTGGAGATATAATCAATGTGTAAATCCCATTTCAGGTTCTGAGTGAGCGTTATTCCCAAATATTTTATAACATTTATGTTTATTATCTTTTCTGCCGCAATAGTTACATTCAAAGAAATAAAAAAAACTATGGCTTTTATATCACGATAATGTACCTGCTCACTCGTCATTGCTTGTTCATAATTTTTTGGCCAAAACCAACACCGTAATCATGCCTTAGATTTGCCCCCCTGCGACTTTTTCCTGTTATCAAGATTGAAGACACCCATGAAAGGATGCCGTTTTGCGACGATTGAGGAGTTAATAAAAATAGAGCTCAAGAACATACCGACCCGTGGGTTGGGCTACCTATCGGGCGCGTCCCCATGTGGCGGATAGGGGAATGACCATGGGACTGGAGGCCCTGTCCGGGAAACCAATGCGGCCTTAAGGACGGGTCGCCGGACTCCTGGTCAGTGGCGGAAATAAGTAGGGTGAGGAGAGAGAACTAAAACTCCCCAAAAGCCTTTGCAAAACATACCACCGCGGACCAGTCTACCCAAGCTAAGGTGTGAGGAATCGTGCCGACAGCTCAATGGCCGCAGGGTGATATGCGGCCACGAACGATCCCCTTGGGGAACTGGGCGAAACTTCATTGTAGTCAGCCTACATCTGGTAATGCGGCGCTTTTCCGGAGGTGACCAACTCTTCCCTTGCTACTCGTGGGAACACACATGAATGAAACAACACAAAAACAGAAACAACAATCTCGAAGCTGGACAGAAGTGCTCACCTCAATCTAAGGCGGTGGCTCGGGAAGAACAGAATGTCCACCCCGATCTACCGCGTGGAATGAGGTTGGACATAGCAGATCACCTCCAACAGCAAGGGCACTTCCTGCGGCAGGCTCCAAGAGCTCCGCCTTGAATAAAGGCAATGAACCGGCTGCCCCTGCAGGAAAGCTCCCTCACTTTTGCACCTCCACAGAGGGAACCCCAAGAAGGTTGAAGAAGCCGCGTAACGACAGTAATATCGCTGCACCTCCCAAAACCTTCGCGGAGGCCACTGTGAGAAACTTCAAGGTTGCCAAAGAGAGTGTGTGTGTTCGGCGAGTCTTGGCCTACACCTGCCAATAAAAAGGAGATGTCTCCTAGTGACGTGTTCACCTTCCTGGAAAGGACATGATGGACGATGACCTAGGAAGACAACTCCTCGGGAGGATGTACAATGGGTCGAATGTGGCCTAAGTGCTGTGAGTCTACACTCACCCTCCCTACCCTACAGAAACAGAACATACCGAAAAGTGAACATAATAATAATAACTTTATTCGTCTTTTCGATCATATACATGATATAAGACATGTCATAAATAAAAATTAGAAAATTATATAAAACCATAATAACGGTCCACAGTATAACATAGATCGGACACTTGAAACAGGTACTTAACTATATACATAAATAAAAAATAACATAATAATAATAATAATAATAATAATAATAACTTCATTCGTCTTTTCGATCATTAAACATGATATAAGACATGTCATAAATAAAAATATGAAAATTATATAAAACCATAATAACGGTCCACAGTATAACATAGATCGGACACTTGAAACAGGTACTTAACTATATACATAAATAAAAAATAACACAAACACACACACACATATATGTATACACATACATAAATATACATAAAGTAAATTTATCTTTAACTAGGATGAAAGAAATGCAGTGAAAGCAATAGTCATGATAACAGTGTATCCCGTTCTAAGAATTCTTCTACGCTATAATATCCCTTATTAGTTAATAGCTCATTTATTTGTTTTTAAATGGTATAATATGCAAATCTTTAATATATTGAGGCAACGTATTGAATAATGTTATGCCATTATATGCAAGTGATTCCTTGAATGTCGTGTTTTATGTTTTGGGATAGTTAATAAAAGTTTATTTCGTGTTGCATAGTTATGAACTATTGATTCATCTCTCAGATTGGGTACATTATTTTTCACATGGAGCAGAGCTTTATATATATAGATGCAAGGTAACGTTAGCATCTTGTTCTTGCAGAAAGCAGGTCTACAGCCCCTGGGTGCAATATTAAAGATAGTTCTAATTATTCTTTTTTGAACAATAAAAACACGTTTTACCCCCACAGAAGAACCCCACATTAATACATTTTGAGCCATATGTGAGTACGCCAATGAATAGTAAACAGTCCTGATACATCAGAACTGCTTCGTGGATTGGATAAAACGCTGACACAAGTGTACTATGTTTATGGCTAGATGATGATCTGAGATTTCACAAACATATAAAATCACTTTGTCGTAGCTCATACAATATCTTACGTCATCTCTATCAAAGTAGAGATATTATGACTTCCAAATTGAAGTGTAAACTTTGCGAAACCCTCATATTGTCTAGATTAGCATATTGCGATATAATCTACGGGCCTGCTTCAATACAAACTGATGTAAATCGCTTACAAAAAATACAAAACAATTGCATTCGTCTTTCTTATAGTGTGAGAAAATTCGACCATTCGACCAAGTTCGAGGAATCAGGTTGGTTACCGATTGCTAAAACCTGGCAGCTCCACCTACTCGTCAATACACATAAATTCCTCATTTGCAAAAAGCTAAATTATATTTATGAAAGATATAAAACTTTCAAATCACAGAATAATTCGAGGACACGAAACCGTCACACTTTTATTATTCTAAAACATTCGACAGCCTGCTTTTCTCGTAGTTTTATTTACAACTATATCCAACAATATAATGCTCTGTCCAGTGAATTCAGACACTACTCCATATATAATTTCAAGAAAAAGTTGAAAACATATCTGAAGTCTTCTGGATAGATAATATATTCATGTTTCCCTTTGTCTCCTTTGTTTTTTCTTAGTCTCACAAAGATTCATGAACTACTCACCAATGTATACTAGGTAATTATTTTTATATTTCTATATAAAACATGCTATCCCCCAGGTTAAGTTGTAAAACAGCCTCGGCTGAACTTCGCACTTTTATTGATTTTTGTATTTACTTCATAATGTTTTTTGACAAACATGACTAATTGCAGAAAATAGATTGAAGGAACTGTTAATATGTCTAGCATCTTGAAGCGTGGTCTACATGTTGATCTATGAGGTAGTTTTAACATACAGCGAATTACAGTTTTGAAGATTTTATATGACTGTGTGGATGATCCCCAGAAAATAATTCCGTATTGAATAATAGATTGAATATGCACATTATAGTATAACTTCAGACTATCTAATGATACTTGATCTCTTAGTGCACGGATTAGACCTACTGTAGTACCCAGTCTAGAGTTAAGTTTGTTTAGATGGATGTCCCATGTAAGATTATTTTCCACTGTGACCCCTAAGAAATTGAAAATTCACCTTAATTTTTGAATAGACCTCGTATTTAAGTACCACTATATTTTGAAATTTTTACTAAACAGTGTACAGCACTGCTTCTTTAGGTGAATTCAATACAAACTATATGTAATATTTAAAATACGTTACCTATTCTTCATTTTTACAGATTATGGCACCAGTATTTTAGATAGCACACCTCAACCAAGTTGGCCTAGCGATTTGGAAGACAGCAAGACAAAGGAGAAGGATGCCTCTCCATGTGAAAGTGATGTAGTATTTAAGACAATAGATAAAATGCTTCCTGAACCACAAGAAAATATTGAGTTGAGACTGAAAACATCAAGAGTCAACAGTACTCCTAGCAAATCTAAAGATGCTAAGGAGATTTTGCAAAATTTATCAGAAATATTGAATAGTACACATCGAAGTGATCAGCAGAGGTCTCAAGGGCAAAATTTGATAAGTAGTCTTGCTGAAATACTATGTGAAGGTACTGAAAATCATGTTCAACATTTAGATGACTCTGGACATTCTTCCTTCATTGAACAAAATGATATGTCCGATAAGTACAAGTATGAAGATTATGAGGCACTCGATCTCAGTAAAAAGAGTGTGGATTCAAAAGATTCAAAGTCATATGAATATACTTCAAATGTATCGGTCAACAAATTTCCAAAAAATATTCTAGCACGCCGATTTTCTCACTCCTTATCTTTGAATTCTAATATTAGAAAAATAAATTTGGCTGAAGAAAATAAAAAGCGAAATTACTCAGCCTCTGGGTTGGAGTCCAGTAAGAATACGACTTGTAATAGCAATTCTTCAGTGAAAAGTAATGATAGTCATGGTTCAGGAAGCTATTCGATTACAAATATTAATGGTAAGTTGAAGACGAAGGCTGTTGCAAGTGGAACTAAAAAAGGACCTTTGAAAGCCGTGATTCCTGTCAAGGATATGAAAAGAAACGGTAAGCACTCATTTCATTCGTACCTATTACCTAAAAATTTGGTTGTTTATTTGTCAGAACTAATTTACGAATTGAATTGACAAATTGTAGTTAATAATGTACTGTTACATTAAGAAAAGTAGCCACTCTTAGTCTTTTCCAGCCTTTCTTCCATTAATGTTACACGGTGGTTGATTTTTATTTTCAAGTATAATATTTTACTCTGAGTGATTTGAAGTTATTGGAAGCTGTAGAGGAGGCGTTTTTTTTTAGAATAATTGTTGTATAACATAGTAATTAGAGGGTTTTGGTTGGTTTCTGGGTTTTGTTGTGGTCTTCTTTGGTTACAATCTCCAAAAGCTCCAACTGCAACTGCGGCAGTCATCTTCAGTGGTGTGGTCAAAGTACTCTTCTTAACGTATCAACGTCAGTATCAACTGACTATAATAACAATTAAAAGCATGCTTTATTATCTGAAGAATAGAATTCTTATTGACAAAGATTCTAAATAAATAGTACATAAATCCTAACTGGTCAAAATGTGCTGAAGGTCATGATAATTAAATAAAATTATGCAAACCAATATGGATTGTCGGATGTTAAAAGTGGATGTACTTAATGTATATATACAATCATACTACTATAAAATATTTTCACAACAATACAGTAAAATAGATATAAAAACAGTTTTCCCTAATTTATGCTATATCAGTTGGTTATAAATACAGAACAGGACAGAGTTGTCAGATGATAAAAACATTAAAATAATATATATACATATACAGTGTGACCCATTTTTAATCGATTTTAATAATTTTTTTATAAATGTCAAGTACTAAAAGGTATACCTTGGGACAAAATTT